TATGATCATAAATTGTTCTGGCAATCTACTGGCACATATAATACGTAATAATATCAGTTTCACACTTTCTGTCTTTTAGGTTTATTTCTTGGTTTAGACAACTGATCAACATCAAGGCACAAGAAGTAACCCATAAGTGCTCCGTTCTATTTCTGATTCAAGCCTGAGTCCGACCAATCTCAGCGCATTGCACTAATTCAGTAACACCAGCGAGGATCTTTAAATACTTTGGGTAGATTTTTAACTCAAAATCTTGCACGGGCAGCGCCGTTAGGCTAATCTTTTCGATTCAAACTGCCAAGGGATATTTTTACGTGCGCAACAATGCACACGGGCGTCCGATCTTATTACCCAGAGACCAGGTAAAATTAAGAGAAGCCCACATGAAAAAATCCCAGCCTTCCCCGGGACCTGGACCTCCAGCACTCGTGGCGGACGCCATTCTTTGAGACCACGTGCTATTTTTACTTTCCGCATCACTTGATAAGACCTGAGAGAGACATAGAGAGAAAATGGCGGACAGTTCGACATCATGGCATGAAAGATCATCTGTGTCAGACAGTTCGACATCATGGCATAAAAGATCATCTGTGTCAGACAGTTCGACATCACGGCATGAAAGATCATCTATGTCGGACATTTCGACATCATGGCATAAAAGATCATCTGTGTCAGACAGTTCGACATCACGGCATGAAAGATCATCTGTGTCGGACATTTCGACATCATGGCATAAAAGATCATCTGTGTCAGACAGTTCGACATCACGGCATGAAAGATCATCTGTGTCGGACAGTTCGACATCATAGCAAGAAAGATCATCTGTGTCAGACAGTTCGACATCACGGCATGAAAGATCATCTGTGTCGGACAGTTCGACATCATAGCAAGAAAGATCATCTGTGTCAGACAGTTCGACATCACGGCATGAAAGATCATCTGTGTCGGACAGTTCGACATCATAGCAAGAAAGATCATCTGTGTCAGAACTGATTGAAAGCACACTAGACGGATGTTTGGTTGTGGATAGAAAAGACAACTAACACTCCGCGGCATAGACTAGGAGAAGAAGAATAAGAGTTGAGGTTCTGGAAGATGTTCAACAATACAAAATAAACATAGTCAGACTTTTAATTATGTTGCAACTGGTTCTATTAGCGTGCAGACTCTTCGTTGGCTACTGAGAATGAAACGGAGCACTTGTGAGAACGTCCTGAGTGCATTAATGTCAGGTCTTGATTGACTGATTCATTCATTCATTTACATTTTAAAACAGTTTGCGATACCCGTTTTCACATGTGTTGATAAGAAGCCTAGTTCGCTACGAAAGGGACTTCACCGTGAATAAATGCAATCATGAAAAATAAACGAATACCGTTTTCTATATTTAAGAAAAATTGATTATTTATTAAGACTTTCGATGCTGAAACACAACTCCAGGATCGGAGAGGATTGGGATGTAGACTTTGGTGGCGCATATTCCAGTAATATAGACATCCTCTAGCCAAATAGGCTTCACTCTTAGCGCGGCTTGGTACAGGAGTTTAGCTGTACTCACTGGGTAGACCAGAAGTCCGCCAAGAAGGTAAGGAGGAAATGTCGGAGGAGGATATTCTTTTTTGGAAAGATAATATTTGTTTTTGACATTTCGTGAAGGTCGATCCGCTATGAGTTTATGCCCTATTATGAAATTGCTTAGGGTTTCTGCAGCTCGTTCTAATGCTGATACTACTTCTACAGTGGTAATGTTAACGTCATCGTCTGCGCGGATGACAAACTTAGCGGTGCTACAGTATGTGCTGATCCATCTTAACATCGATACAGACTTTAATCTGTTGTTACTGTAAACATCTTCAAAATCTGCTTGTATTATATCTCCGAATTCTTTCACTTCTTCGTCAATTTTTGTCTGAAGTGATAAGTAGTTTGATCCCGGGGACGGTTTGCCAAGGAAAAATAGCAAAATTGTATTATTTGCATTTTTTCTGACATAATCCCCCCTGCTTCCTTTGCGTACAGTCTGTCGTTTCTCAACGTTACCAGGAGCAGACGGCACAACGAAAACAAGCTTGACTGCTTTCTTTGAGCAAATGTCTTCACGATTGTAGATGTACGAGAAATTGTGGTTGTTGATAACTGGCAACGATAAGAAAGATAAAATTTCCGTTCTATGTAGGTGATGTTCAAACTCAGAAAGTAGCATTTGCATGCGATCCTTCACTACAGTGATCGAATGTGAAACAGCGGTTATGTTTGCCGAATTGTCACTCACTGTAGACTTTACAGCTGCTAATAAATATTTAGCACCGTAGATGAAATATTGAAGTGCTTCGTCGATGCTCTCTGGTGACGTGGATGTATCCTCCGAGACAAACGATCTCAGACTTCTGGTGCCGTTGCGTCCGTTGTTGAGCGACACTAGTGTGATTCCTATCAGCACCACAGTAAAGAAGATTAATACAAGAACAGCCTTTGCTACTTTTTGCTTTGAATACAGCATTTTCCTCTTTAACAGATTCCTTACCTGTAAAAAAAATACCAAACAAATACAAGAATAAACATTATTGTGTCCTGTTAACAAACAGTATATACAAAGCATACAGTTGACATTGCGCAGTTATAAACAACAGCAAACAGTTAACATTGCGCAGTTATATACAACAGCAAACAGTTGACATTGCGCACTTATATACAACAGCAAACAGTTAACATTGCGCAGTTATATACAACAGCAAACAGTTGACATTGCGCAGTTATATACCACAGCAATCAGTTGACATTGCGCAGTTATATACAACAGCAAACAGTTAACATTGCGCAGTTATATACAACAGCAAACAGTTAACATTGCGCAGTTATATACAACAGCAAACAGTTAACATTGCGCAGTTATATACAACAGCAAACAGTTAACATTGCGCAGTTATATACAACAGCAAACAGTTGACATTGCGCAGTTATATACAACAGCAAACAGTTAACATTGCGCAGTAATATACAACAGCAAACAGTTAACATTGCGCAGTTATATACAACAGCAAACAGTTAATATTGCGCAGTTATATACAACAGCAAACAGTTAATATTGCGCAGTTATATACAACAGCAAACAGTTAACATTGCGCAGTTATATACAACAGCAAACAGTTAACATTGCGCAGTTATATACAACAGCAAACAGTTAACATTGCGCAGTTATATACAACAGCAAACAAGACTGCAGTAAAATGTTTACTTAAATTAATATCATGTGCATGAAGTGGTATTGATCACCGCCAGTTCAGAATGCAATAGCCAACTGGATAGTTGCGTATCCTTTACAGGACGTTGTAGAACCAACCCCAACAGCCCCTGGCTGTTGTGTGCTTTTTGTAGGCAAATTTACGTCCAGTTGTTTGCCATTGCTTACTGGACGGTCGGCTTTCTTGATACCACTGTCGAAACCAACACAAGGCGCATGGCCCGCTGCTGGGATCGAACCCGGCATCCCCGCATTACATAGCGTTCGCATCGACTTAGCTACAGAGCCGACAATAGCAAACTACTGAACTTAAAATTACATAGTTAAGAGTAAAACATCAACACACTCAAAATGCTAAGTTGGTTCTGCAACATTCTGTAAAGCAGGGCTGTTCAACTTAGGGGACAACATTTTGAAAATGGGGATAATATCGGGTTAGAGCAGTGGCTCTTAATCTTCCCAATGCCGCGACCCTTTAATACAGTTCCTTATGTTACACGCAACCGCCAAACATACATTTTTTTTCGTTGCTACTTCATAACTTCCATGAATATGTGTTTTGCGATGGTCTTTGGCGACCTCTTTGACAGGGTCTTTCGACCCCAAAAAGGGTCGCGACCTACAGGTTGAGAACCGCTAGGCTAGAGGTTCGTGCCCCAGCATCCTTTACAGGACGTTGCAGAACCAACCCTAGCATTGTTGTGACTGTTGTGGTTTTCTAGGCAAATTTACGTCCAATAGTTTGCCATTACTTTCTAAACGGTCGGCTTCTCAATACCACTGTCGAAACCAACGCAAGGCTTTGGGATCGAACCCGGCAATCCTGCATTACGAAGCGCGTTCTCAACGCCTTAGCCACAGACGCAGACGCCCCATCATAGAAAGATCATTACCACAATACATGTATCAATGATCAGTGGGCCGCTTGCTAGGCCTTTAGGGGCCAGATTTGGCCCGCTGGCCGCCATTGAATAGCCCTGCTGTAAAGAATACACAACTAACGTTAACACAAATGACCGGAATTTACTAAGTAAACTTGTCCCCGCATCAGAAAGGTACAATGCATGTTCCTTTGGCACGCCATGGGAAGTTAATAACTGGAACACTTCCGGACAATAAGCAAGTTAGAAGGTACCCTCATCTTTAATATCCTCGATCACTGTTGAGAGTGTTCCTTCCTTGTGTGTTGGAGACCTCATTTGCGGTTCCTATTTATCCGTCTCTGATGTGCGTGTGTGCGCCCGCGTGTGTTTTTTAAAACCATTGTATAGAGCAGAATTCGCTTACAACAGATTCTGGCAAGACTACACCAATTTAAAGCATTTTAGCAGTAAGTATTTAGAGCAGTGTTCTTCAAACCGTGAGCCGGGTTCTACTAGTGGACCGCGAAACAGTCCTTAAAATCAGTGAAATAAAATGGATGCTATTGTAGCACTTCGTATGTCCTAAACAACACTCTAGCTATATATAAATATTACATTTTTTTAAACAGTAAGCAATAGTGGTTGTAATTTTGTGACATTACATTAAAGAAACAATCTACCGTCAGCAATTGCTTTTGTTTCATGTTTGGTTAGGTCTTAGTGAAACAACTTTTCCCGTTTTGCTGGGTTACGGAAAAAAAAGGTTGAGAAACACTGATTTCGAGCACCATTGTAAGATTTTACGAGGACGCCTACTTTCATTCAGTGATTGAGAGTATTGACTGAGATAAGCAATCTCTTTATACGTGAGAAGAACGAGGTTGACATGACAATCAAGCACTCTTGACGTGTTCCCTTTCACTTTGACAAAGAAACGCCACGTGTAAAAAGGGAGTGTCTACCATTGTCTTCTTGTTCTTTCCTAAACATCCACCTGCTCTTTCTTTCTTTCTTTCTTTCTTTCTTTCTTTCTTTCTTTCTTTCTTTCTTTCTTTCTTTCTTTCTTTCTTTCTTTCTTTCTTTCTTTCTTTCTTTCTTTCTTTCTTTCTTTCTTTCTTTCTTTCTTTCTTTCTTTCTTTCTTTCTTTCTTTCTTTCTTTCTTTCTTTCTTTCTTTCTTTCTTTCTTTCTTTCTTTCTTTCTTTCTTTCTTTCTTTCTTTTTATTTCTTTCTTTCTTTCTTTCTTTTTGTTTCTTTCTTTCTTTCTTTTTTTCTTTCTTTCTTTTTTTCTTTCTTTTTCTTCTTCTTCTCTCTCTTCTTCTTCTTCTTTAAATTCTGATGAAACGTCTAAAGGTCGAAATGACGTTTACTAACAGCTCTGTGAGAGGGAAAAAAAACACAAATTATGAGAAAGGAAAAGATACTAACAAATACAAATAAACGTTTCTATAAACGCCTTGTCAACAAATAAATAAGTAAAAACGACAAACTAATAATTCAAGAGGGGGGGGGGGGGGAACACATACCGAAATTTTTTTTTTTAAAAGGGGAAAGGTCACGATATTGTGAAAAGGGTGCGGAATGAGCTTTCGCGAAAAAAAACGTTAAGTTAAAAAACAAATGGTGAATCACAACGAAAACCTTAAACAAAGCATTGGACAAACACTGCTTGACAATCCATTGGTCCTGCGTCGAATTCTAGTCACGTCACTGTAGTGATAATTGCCATCACTGAAACAATACCAGCATAATCACAGACTTCCCCTTGCGGGATGCGATTGTTCGTTATTCTGAAGCCCTACCCTTGCCAGGCTTCCTTTACAGGAAGGCGCCATCAAATAACCATATATATATATATAGCTGCAATCTGAGATTGTATGCAGTACATAGAAATCTGGATTTTCGGACGCCTGCCTTCCTTCACATAAAGGCGCCATCAAATAACCATACATACGCAATCTGAGATTGTATGCAGTACATAGAAATCTGGGTTCTCAGACGCCTGCCTTCCTTCACATCATGGCGCCATCAAATAACCATATATACGCAATCTGAGATTGTATGCAGTACATAGAAATCTGGGTTCTCAGACGCCTGCCTTCCTTCACATAAAGGCGCCATCAAATAACCATATATACGCAACCTGAGATTGTATGCAGTACATAGAAATCTGGGTTCTCAGACGCATGCCTTCCTTCTTGAACAATTCGGTTTCTAAAAAAAGTTATTTCGGAGGAAAAAACGTCATGTTTTGCCAACACCTCCTCGGCTCCTGAGCAGCAGTTCCGGAAACCAAGAGTTTCACTGGAGGAAACTGCGACGAAAGAGCAAGTTTAGCCCATAGGAGATTGCCCACTTGTACAGTGTTTTTTCTTCGACAGATTTTTCTCCTCACTCTCTAGCTATGTGAACGAGCTGAAGGTAGAATTTGATAATATTTCTCTCTCTCTCTCTCTCTCTCTCTCTCTCTCTCTCTCTCTCTCTCTCTCTCTCTCTCTCTCTCTCTCTCTCCTCTCTCTCTCTCTCTCGCTCTCTCTCTCTCTCTCTCTCTCTCTCTCTCTCTCTCTCTCTCTCTCTCTCTCTCTCTCTCTCTATTCTTTTACTGAAAAAATTTGTCACGTTTAACAAGCATCCCCGAACGGGGAGCTTTACGTTATAATTATGACTAGGTTATCTGCGCCGTATAAAATGACTTAGCACTGCACGCCATTAAGCGCCTTGAAAAAAAACTCCTGTAATATTCATGCGAATAAAGAAGACATAATTAAAACTCTCCCTACTGGCGACAAAGTCGTCTACCGGCGAGCCAAAGAGGGACCAGCTCGCCGATGTTTCTCAATAAAAAGACACATCTGTTTTCCGGGTAGGTTGCGCTCCCTTCCTCTCAAGCAATTTATGAATTAGGTATATTTAAACATAGGAAGTTAAGTACCCTTTTCCACGCCTCTAGGCGTATAGGGCATATAGGGCTAGACCTATATTTTAAAGACCAATTGGCACAAGATGGATGATGTGGTCAGCATTACGCCGGCCGCCTTTACTTCCCGGAACCATACGCGATACTCAGTCAAGGCTGGGTCAGGGCAGTCGTTGGACCTAGGCTGCTTGCAGTCGTGGGACATAAGCTGCACTCTCTCGTGGGACATAAGCTGCACTCTCTCGTGGGACATAAGCTGCACTCTCTCGTGGGACATAAGCTGCACTCTCTCGTGGGATATAAGCTGCACTCTCTCGTGGGACATAAGCTGCACTCTCTCGTGGGACATAAGCTGCACTCTCTCGTGGGACATAAGCTGCACTCTCTCGTGGGACATAAGCTGCACTCTCTCGTGGGACATAAGCTGCACTCGCTCGTGGGACATAAGCTGCACTCTCTCGTGGGACATAAGCTGCACTCT